TCTAACAGGTGGAAACTACCTCCTTAAGGCATATAGAACTACTCAAGGGATACCTGTTTTGAGGGTGCTGATGTAAATTCCCATTGCTTCTCTGAGAAGTTTCACCCCTTCTTCCTTCATTAAGGCCACGAGATTTGTGTCAGGCTCATCTTTGGCAAGGCTCACACTAATCTGAGTGAAAGATGAGAAGTAGGTGGTAAATAACTTGAGGGGCACCCTCATTATGGAATGTGGGGGCTGAGCAATCACGTAACTGCTGACATTTCCAAAGGAAATGCATGAGTACTGCGATATTCGTACAATCCCCATTAGTGTTCCTTCTTGAGTCCTCTCTGTCAAATGGCTAATGTTAGTTGGAACCCATGTCACTAGCTAAAGTGAAGAAATTAAAGTGCAAATTGCTCTGGAAGTTTCCAGTGGCACCACACGCCTAGCAAAGTATCTGCAGACTCGGGTTCTGAATGCTTGGACCAAGCCTGCGCTATGAATCCTCAATGACAGGTCACTTTTCTCATCTGAGAATAAGAGGATATAGAGGACTCGGATTAGGAGTTAGGAAGCACGAACCTCTACTTCATCCACGCTGTTTTCATCAGACAAATTGGGGATCTCCACATGTCCTTTGTACTGTACTCCTGACTTAGAAGTACCTGTCAAAACCAATGCAATGTCATTAGTCCACTCCTAGGCAGGAAAGGTCTCTGCTCCAGGGTCCTAACTGCGACCTCACTTCTGCTGCTTTTGGATGGCTGAACTGATCCTCTTTATTCTGAGAATGCCACATGCCAGATGCAATCAACACCCGCACCCCCAAAAGAAATGTCTTTTCCTCACCAGGTTACTGGAAACCAACTATGTTATTGGTACTAGCATGAGTTATACCATGAGAACTTGGGTCAAAAGCCAGTAGTTCTGCTAGACACTTCTTTTGAAAATATCAATTTATTTCAGTGCAACTGAGATATTAGGGAGCAATTTGATTATAATGAGAAGTTCACATTTGCTTATATGTGACTCCATCCATGAGAAACACTAGGTGAATACGGAAAGCCTCACCCAACTACATAGGATACATAAAACACACATATCTCAAACACCTATCTGCCAATGACCTCGGTTTACAGCGTGTATTGTGAGCCATACCCATCCTCATCTAGTGTAATGTTCCTTCTGATTGTAGATGACTCTCCTTCTACCATTCCAAAGTAGTCCTCAAGCTGCAACCCTTCTGATGCCCACTTTTTTCCCCCCAAGACGGCTCTGTCACTCAGGCTGGAGTGCAGTGGCACGATCTCGGCTCACTGTAACCTCCACCTCCCAGGTTCAAGCAATTCTTCTGCCTCAGCCTCCCAAGTAGCTGGGATTACAGGCGCGTGCCACCATGCCCGGCTAATTCTTGTATTTTTTAGTAGAGACGGGGTTTCACCATGTTGGCCAGGTGTGTCTCCAATTCCTGACCTTGATCCACTTGCCTCAGTCTCCCAAAGTGCTGAGATTACAGGCGTGAGCCACCGTGCCTGGCTCTGATGCCCACTTTCACAAGTAACCTTCAGGTCTTTTTAATGGTAAAGCACCATATTTACTGTAGTATTTATTTATTTATTTATTTTCTTTCGAGATGGAGTCTCAGTCTGTTGCCCAGGCTGGAGTGCAATGGTGCGATCTCAGCTCACTGCAACCTCCACCTCCTGGGTTCAAGCAGCTCTCCTGCCTCCGCCTCCCGGGTAGCTGGGACTGTAAGCACGCGCCACCACGCCCGGCTAATTTTTTGTATTTTTAGTAGAGACGGGGTTTCACTGTGTCAGCCAGGATGGTCTCAATCTCCTGACCTCATGATCCACCCGCCCTGGCCTCCCAAAGTGCTGGGATTACATGCGTGAACCACCGCGCGTGGCCTGTATTTATCTATTTCTTACCATTTAATGTGCACAAAACTATGCTACCAATTTTTAGTCCCTGTATTTAAAAAAAAAGTGTTGGCCAGACACAGTTCGAGACCAGCCTGACTAACACAGTGAAACCTGTCTCTAATAAAAATACAAAATTAGCCGGGCGTGGTGGCAGGCACCTGTAATCCTACTTGGGAGGCTGAGGCAGGAGAATTGGTTGAACCCAGGAAGTGGAGGTTGCAGTGGGCGGAGATCGTGCCACTGCACTCCAGCCTGGGCGACAAGAGTGAAACTCCGTCTCAAAAAAAAAAAAAAAGGTCTGGGCAAGATGACACCAAAGATTCCTTCCATACTACTATGCTTCAAGTGTACTTTAAAAACAAATTAACAAAAATCAAGGACAGATAATCTACTTTCACCCTTCTTTATGATACGACTATTCAGAAATGTTTATCAAAGCACAAATTTCATGCTTTGCCCCATACACACAGTAGCTATCTCATACTCCTTTACTGCCTTTTTACATTCAGGCTCTCAACAGTCAGGACTGTCCAAAACGGGCATACGCATGACCTCAATTTTTTCCTAATGTCATACAGAAGGGACACAAAACTAGAAGAGAGATAAAACAGTCCCAAATTACTGTCACACACAAGCTTCATTTTAATTTGTTAGATTCACACTGAGGAGAGTAAAAAAAAAAAAGATCAAGACCAAAACAAAAAAACAAAAAAACAAAACACCTCCTTCCTCCTTTTAAATCACTCACAAGATACATGTAGGTAGTCTGAAGAAATATCACCTTAGGTGTTCCAACAAAAACCAAGGCCCAAACATGCAGTGGCCCAGCCACTTCATGGGTGGGACTGATGAGACCCAGAGAGAGGAAATCCATTTAGCATCCCACAATGGCAAAGAAATTTCAGTACCCAATACTGCTTTACATAGGACTCCAAAGCAGCAACATCTGTCTTCTCCCTTCAACGTTTGTAACTCCTCAAAACTGTTCTCTCCAGCTACTTAACAGGTTAAACAAAACACAGTTAATCTCTCTGACAGCCCAGCTTAGACTTACCTGTCCAGTTTAGTTTGACGCTCCATTCGTAAAAGAAGATAAGTTTCCCTTTGCGATTGTTAATGGATGCCTCTCCATCAAGCTTACTCACTTCCGTCACCTCACATTTGCCTTCTTCATTTTGAACCTGCACTGCCAGGAACAGTGTTTTCAGCTTATCCGTGGACCAATTTGAAGCATCTCTCTCCGTCCTGCAAAGCAGAAACAAAGCTATGAACTGGCAGTCAAATGGAGGATATACTGCTCTATGCAAGAGAATACGAGGTTAAAAGAGGCCTGACAAATAGTTTGAAAGGAACACAAAAACTCCCAGTCCCACTCCAGTATGTCCACAAACATGTCACCCTTTTTTAGGAAGACAAGGGGTTGCACACTGTCAACAAAGACAGCTGCTGTAGAGAATAGTATAAACTCAATGGAAAATTATGCTCTCCTTTCTCGGCATGATGGTGCTGGAGAATACTTGATACTTTAACATGGCGCCCCCATTTGACCAAGTGGAAAACTGCACATATTGCTCTGATCAGGAACACAGACTGGACCATGGAAGAACAGTACTTAGCTAAAAGGCCCAGAAAGGATTACACCAATAACCCTGACCTCACTGGCACAGTGTTCTGACCTATCAGATTCGCACTTGTATTATAAACTTCCTACACATTCACTGCCCCCTAGATGGCCACAAAAACGTTAAGACAAGGGCTTCAAAACAACAAAAATTAGGTCAAGTACTCTGCATGTTAGAAGAGAGAACACAAAGTGAGATATGGAAAAGAAACATCACTATCTGCCCTCCTGCTTATCAACTATTAGAGAAAACAACAGCAAAGAAAGCTGCAACAAAGTAACGGTACAATACAAACATTATGAACAGAATTCAGTGGAATTCAAAAGTAAAGGAAACATTACTTTGGGAAGATTTCATGAAGCGGGGCAGTATTTTAAGAACGGACAGGTTATAAAACCACGGCTGCTCGGCAACCTGGAGTTCCAACACACCTGACCTGACAGTTCCGGGTGAGAGGCCGCAGCTATCTGAGCTCTGAGCACCTGCCCAACACGTTCTCAATCTCCCGCGGGACTGCTGCAGCGGTCCCCTATGAATGACTTTTAATTTTACTGCAAGCCGCAAAACAGGAATTACAGACCCCTGGCCTTAGGCCTTTCACAGCTGTCTCCCAACACAATCAAAAGAGGTTCCAGTCTCAGTGACTCCTCTGGCCACGTGTAGTAAGCACCTCCCTGCACGGGCTGGATGCAGCAGCCAGGGCGTCATCTCCCAGTCTCTCTGACAACCTTCCTCTGGGGCGCTGCCCTCCACGTCCATCTCCCTCCCCTCAAGCACTGAGAAGGTGGCCGGGGAGTGGAGGGGCCTGGGGCTACGGACCCCTGCCACAGGAAGGACCCGCCCCCATCTCCGGACAGGGTTACTTCAGCCCCAGCTCTGTCCGGTCCGAGGTTCCAGGAACCCTGGAACCCTGGCCCGGCCGCAGGTCTCCCAAGGCCGGCCTGCTTTGCTGGCCCTCACCAGTGCCAGTTATTGACGTTGGTGGCGTCCGCCCGCTCCTCCACGATCCAGCGTGGGTCTCCCTCACCCCACTTGGCCATCGGCTCTCCTATCGCGGCGCCACCAGCTCCGGAGCTGCCGCAGCCACAGCCTCAGGACCGCTTAGTGCCAGCCGCCCGGCAGCGCCTGGAAACTACTAGAAGCGGCCGCAAACACCTCCTGGCTTGCTTTTCCCTCCACCCCCTCCCCTTCTTAACTTCCGGCTCCTCCCCACTTCCACCGGCTACTTCCGTCCCAACTCGCCGCACCGTGGGTTCCATCTGATTTAGTGTTCCTTCGGACTCTCTCAGGTTCTCCCCAAAAAGGGTCCCGAAACCCAGCTGCTCATACAACCATTCCTCACCCATAGGAAAACAAAGAACACGTCTCATTGTTTCCCTGGACCCTAAATCGGCCTTGCTGAGCCTCATGGGACTTGTAGTCTTCTTACGTGACCCGCTGGATAACCGCGGAAGGTTGCCCTGAAGGGAGAGGAAATGACCTAGCACAGTGCTTGGGGTTTCTGGGGGCTGTAGTCAAGAAGCCTTGTGGTTCATCGGGACTGCGCCTGACAGCAGAGGCAGAAGAAACTACAACTTCCAGCATGTCCTGCGGCCTCTTTATTCGCGTTTTCTCCCCGCCCCGCGATTATTCCTTTCTGCCCCCTTCTCTAAGCTGCACTGCCTGAAAAGAGAGGCTGTTCCAGCGGCGGCGGAGGCAGACGCTGTCCTGAGAGGGAGGGCTCTGTGCGTAAGAGGTGAGGGTGTCCCAAGCCCCTTGGGTCGCTTATCTGGCTGAGTCCAGCCTCTCCGCATCTTGATCTTTTCCCGTCTTCTAGGAGGCATTCCTACATCCTACGACCACAGGCCTGATTCTCTTCTTTCAGTCAGGGCGACCCTTAGGCGCTGGAGTACGCTTGGGAATGGGGCTGCGAGTAAGCACCAACGATTGGTTCGGAAGCAGACATTTGGTTCAGAAAGATCATTTAACTCTGCCAGGGATCCGCTGGGCTCTGACGACTGCGGTAGATCCATGGCTTCCTGGACGTTCACCCGTAGAGTCATCCTAGCTTAACTCATGTTCCCTGGTCTCAGTTCACAAGCCTCACCTGTATCTTCCTGGCTCGGAAGATAATTGAAACCAAGTCTGACGTTCTCAGAAGCTGGTTTTTGGAGTTTTCTGAGGCAGGGAGGGTGTTGTGGTTTTCTTGCTGATCCTTCTGTTTTCTTTTGTAAAGTTCCTGTTCTCCCCTGAGATCCCTCACCCTGCCTTGTGGTCTGTCAGTAAACAGGAGAAGACAAAGATAAACCTCTGAAGTGTTTTAAATCATGTTGAAGCACCTGTCACTCTTAAGATTGTACCTGATTACTTATAACTCTGGAGCTATTAGATCATTATCTATACTTGTCAAGTAAACCTAGCTTCTCATTTGGCGTTATAAATACAAATTGATGGCAGGTGTCTACTGCCATTGCATGGTTTAAAAGATTTCCGGAAATCCTCTGGCAGGTTATTGTGTTTGTTAGACATATTCTATGTCTATTTGTAGATAACTACTATAGTGAAGGAATGATCTCTAGTTTTCCAGAGAGTGAAAAATAGGTAGAAGGACCATGCAGGACACTAGAAATGGTCTAGAAGCCAGAAAGCCTTGGATTGTAATTTGAAACAGCACGTAACAAGGTGGCTTTGATACTGAACTCTTTTGTGCCTCACTTTCCCCGTGAGTAACATGGAAATGGAATCTCCCAGGCCTACCTTACAAGATTGTTCTGAGGATCAAATGAATGACAGATTTATGAACTGACATGTGTGCCAGAGACATTTATATGTTCTGTGCACATCTTCAGCATTTGTGGCCACTCAGAATTTTTGTATTTTTTTTTAATTTTTAGGATTGCTAAAAAATATTTTCTTTTTTAGCTTTTCCCAAGATACTATGATGATGTATTAATAATAAAAGTTACTACTGAGTGTTAATTTTGGGTCGGGCACTAAGCACTTTATATGTATTAACTGGTTTACTCCTCATAACCATTTCTAAGGTAGGTCATCTGTTATGCCCATTTTACAGATGGGGAAACCAAGACAGAAAAATGTCAGTATGATATTCCATATTAAAAGGAATTAACATTTAGTATTTACTTTCCGCTAGACGCTTTTATAGGTGTTCCCTGCAACCCTGTGAGATAGGATATAATTTTCTCCAAGGCTTAAAAGTAAAGTCATTTATCCAGTTTGCTCAGAATTAAGAGAAACCAGGATTTGAACTCAAGGTTGCCTGACTACAATGTCTGTGTGGGATGATTTCATGGTGTCTGCCAGCATTTTTGGTTTATCTCCCTAAAATTAAATACAGAAAAGGATTTTTAAGCAACACTTCCAGTAGAAATCAATTAGCAATGTCTGCTGTGGGAAGGAACAAGATAGAAAATTCCCACAATACCCTTGCTATCCTTATATCCCCTGAGTTGAAAACAGAGTCAGGAAGTAATAGTAGAATATCTTTAAGGGCCATCAAAAGCCTCAACAGGACTACCATGATGAGGCTTTTCTCAAGCTTTTATTGATGAAGGTGCTATTAAAAGGAAAAGCAAATGGTTCTTTTAGAACTTGATGCTGTTTAGCCTTTACAATTATTTTTGGTGCTGTGGGAGTTTTAGTACCTAGTCCTTGGCTTAAATCATAGTTTTCATTCTAATCCAGTTGGCATTGATAGTTTAGTTTGTAATTCTGTTTCCTTATTTAGAGACAGGTAGGGTCTCACTCTGTCACCCAGGCTGGAGTGCAGTTGTGTGACCTCAACTCATGGCAGCCTCAACCTCCTGAGCTCAGGTGATCCTCCACCTCAGCCTCCCAAGTAGTTGGGACTACGTCACCATGTCCGGCTGGTTTTTTGTTTGGTTTTTAAATTTTTTTTTGTAGAGACAGTTTTACTGTGTTGCCCAGGCTAGTCTTGAACTTGGACCCAGGCAATCCTCCCACCTCAGTCTCCCAAAGTGCTGGGATTACAGATGTGAGCCACTGTGCCCTGCCTAGTTTGTAATTCTAGGGCAAAACTTGCTTTTGCAGGGCAAAATTGAATTTTATAGTAGTTATAACAGGGACTTGTGGTCTTTTGACTACTTCTTTATATACTTGCTTTTCTTGGCCATGCCCTCATTTCCCAAATTTTGGCCAACAGTTGTTAATCAAATAGTCATAATTTGAAGATTTAGGTGAAATAGTTCTACTTCTTTTAATTGCTTTGCTTTCCATTCTTTCAGGCATTTATGAGAGTGGAATATTTGTCAATTTTATTCACTGTAGTATTCCCAGAACCTAGAACAGTGCCCCAGAGATGGTGCTCAATAAATATTTGTTGAAAATGCCAATGCAATTTTTGTCTGTTTTGTGCATGTTTTGATTGCTCTTCCTTGTGTATTCAGCAAAGTTTTGTGATGGATTCTTACAGCATCTGCCTGCCTTGCACTGTTGCCTGTTGCTTTTAATATATACCTATGCTGAATGCCCTGGCTGTGTTGTAGGGTCCTTCAGAAGTGGGACTGTGTCTGACACTTTTTTTTTTTTTTTTTTTGAGATGGAGTTTTGCTCTTGTTGCCCAGGCTGAAGTGCAATGGTGCAATCTCGGCTCACTGCAACCTCCGCCTCCCGGGTTCAAGCGATTCTCCTGCCTCAGCCTCCTGAGTAGCTGGGATTACAGGCATGCACCACCATGCCCGGCTAATTTTGTATTTTTAGTAGAGACGGGGTTTCTCCATGTTGATCAGGCTGGTCTCGAACTCCTGACCTCAGGCGATCTGCCCGCCTCGGCCTCCCAAATTGCTGGGATTAAAAGCCTGAGCCACTGCACCCAGTCTCTGGCACTTTTTAATATACCTTACAACACCTGAGAGAGTGCCCTGGACAAAGTGGATGCTCTAAGAATGGATGACTACTTCTGGGTAATTAGAAGATTAGAAGTATGATTTGATCAGTTGGAGACCCAAGAATGTGGTTTAATATGGCAGGTTCAATATTTGTTTTACCAGATCCTTTTCTGCATCCTTGATTTTTGGGAGCAGTTAAAGCTTTGGAACTCTTTAGGGAGAGACCCAGAAAGAGACGATGTATGTCTTCCTGTCACTGTAGATGAATCGGACAAAGGGTGATGAGGAGGAGTATTGGAACAGCTCCAAGTTCAAGGCTTTCACCTTTGACGATGAAGATGATGAGCTTTCACAGGTAGGTCAACTGCTGAAGTTTGTACTCTTTTCCACAGTGCCACTCTAAAATTCCTTCCTCTTGCAGTCTGGGTAACTTGGCTTTTGACCATGTCTTCATTAGGCTCAGGAAAGAGCCAGAAGGATTGTAAAATCCAGCTCACTGCCTTTTTTACTTTACCTTTTTAAGATGATTTCTTCCTTTCAGTTTTTTTTTCTTTTTAAAGAACCTCAAGTCTTTTATTCATGTGATACATATTTTTTATTTTTGAAAGATGAACTGGATTGGAGGATTTATTTTTGTTGTGTCTATTTTGCAATTGGGGAAACATTTATTTTTAGAGAGGTGAATAAATTCACTCAGGTTTACATAGCAAGTCACTGCCAGGAATATGATGAGAATTCAAAAGTGACTTTGATTCCTTCTAATTCTTTTACCACTGGACTGTAGTGTTGGCTAAAAATCAGTTTGTTTTCTTGGCAGATATCTAGTATGCTAGGCTTTCGATTGCACAAGGTGAGCGTTGGCCACCTTCAGGCCCCAATTCCTCAGCCTTCTTGATTGTCGGAAGAGAGGTGGGAAATGATGATTGCCTGAGCGCCCTAGCCTTGTGTCCCTCTGCAGTTAAAGGAGTCCAAGCGGGCGGTGAACAGCCTCCGAGACTTCGTGGATGATGATGATGATGATGACCTGGAGCGAGTCAGCTGGAGTGGGGAACCTGTGGGAAGTAAGTAGAAGAGGCGGGGATAGACGTCCAGGATTCTTATCACTAATGAAGGCTGTACTTGTTTGTCTCTTCAGTGCCGGTATGGAGAGGGAATGAGGTAAGACTATTTTCAGATGAGCACACGTCTGGAAACTGAACTCCAGGAGAAGATACTTGGGAAATCCAGCAGGCGTTCCCACATGGCCATATAGGTCTGCTCTTCAGGGGTTGAGGCTTGGCTGGCTATGTCATTCTCATTTGGGGTGCTTGTTAAAATGACATACTCCTAGGCTTTATCCCAGAGATTCTGTTCATTAGGTCTTCTGCGGAGTAGTGGGGGAGCTCTCAAGTTTTAATAAACACTGCAGGTGATTCTAATTTGTAGCCGTATTTGGGAACTACTGACTTAACTCAGTATACTCATAACTGATTGACAGAACGGACTTCCTTACCCACCCAGTCTCACTGCTTAGCTGTGTACTTAATACTTTCTCAAAGTCCATTT